CTTCGATTTTGTGATTTTTCCTTTTATTTGTCTACAGTACGGAAATTTCACTCCCAGCGAATAATGGGCTTGTTTCATGCTATTGAAAATGATACTCGTTTGCTTATAGACTGATCGTGTCTACAGCGGTGTTACCAAGTGCCAATTAATTATTTCAACAAAAATACGATGTTATGAAACATTTGAAAGAGTACATACATTGTCTCCTACATTCAAAAGAGATAGCTGACTGGATGACAATATGGCTAATATACCAGTAACGTTGAATTTCTGATTTTGGGTGGGTGGCATGAATGCATAATTGATTTATTTCATGTTCATGAGCCTTCGAGAACCATTTAAAAATATAGCTCGTTAAATTCTATTTAGAACCATGGTTTTCGATTACATTTCATTTCATATGGAGAATTTTTTCATGAATTTAAACGTTAACGGGTTCATATACACTTCCATTATTAAAATTTCTGTGATATCAACACGAAAATGTCACTACCGGAGATATTTCAAAAATAACCCTTTTTTTTGCGTTTTGTGTTATTTGGATCCCATGTATAATTAATTCTTCCTTTCAATGCATTTCTTACACTTTCTTCTCAGATTTAGTTGTCGGAAGTGAGTGTGATTTTACTTTGAATCACGAATGAATCAGAAACTATTTATACGTTCCGTGAATTGAACATTTTGGCAATGTTCATACTTTGTATTGTTCCTATTGGTCAATCGAACAAGAAGCGGGACTAGGCCCGTGACGTCACGAGCCTAGAAAATCCAATTTTTAATAATTAATTGCGGTAAAACAACGTTATTTAGAGAGCTGAAACAAAGTAGGCTATTTCTCAATTTGAAATTACTACCAAATGAACTGTAAACCGAAAATCATGAAACATACCAATTTATTATTGAAATTCAAACTTTGATTCAATCTGGGCATGATACAATTGAGACCTTCATACATCAAACTAAACTCACCAGCAAAACTAACTAAACTTGTTGCCACAATATACCATACAAGATACAACTTGTAGGACGTAAAAATACTTTGTAAGTTTTCCCACAGTAACTGTAACACATAAACGGCTATAGTCCAACCACATCCAAGAACTCCATACATGAAGGTATTCTGAAAAAAAACTCATCAACTTATCGCAACAACAGGAACTGGATTTATGAAAAAAAAATTGATTCTTCAATTTGATTTATAAAAATGAGTACAATAAGAAGGTACAACTTACCCTTGGGAATATTTTCCCAATGAAATATACCAATATTAAAACCGATGCACATACTCCTATTGCTACTCCACACATATATTGAAATACATTATTTCGGCTCATCTTATCTGCTGTCACAAATATGGACACTCCTGTCAGCAACAGAAGTACTTTCCAGAAATCAATAACTGAAAAGAACAATATTTAAATCAAATATTCGTCTGTTTCTTATGTGGTCGGTTTATTTCAAATTCCTTTCTGAAAAATGCGTTTTTTTTACTCCTATTTGAAGAAAGAGAGTTGGACCACAGATACAATCATCAGAGTTATCCGCCAACACCATATAGCAACATCAATCGTACCAGAACGTACAATAAGCTCCATGCTTCGTAATTCAAAGGCTCACATACCACTGTAGTCCCAAGGAGTTTAAGAAGTACCACGTCAAGACTGTGACAAGACTTACATTGGCCAGACTAATAGGCGAATTAACATACGCAAGTATGAACACAAATTATCAGATGGTTCGAACGCCTCAATACAGGTACTTCAGGTACTTTAGGTAAATTTGCCTGTATTTGAATTACATCAGGTACTATTCTTTGGGTGGGATCTTCTCTAGGTTTATTGTTTCTAAGAGTGTGTATTGATTTGTTTAATATATTGAATGTTAGGTCTTGTGTTTTGATTTGTACTTGTTCCTCGATAAGTGATTTATCACTTATCGAAGCTGTGCTATCGAACGCGCTCGCATATAATAAATATAAGTTATAAAGCTTCAAATCCTTTTTGTGACATATGGTTATACTGAAATACTGAAAATGAAGGAGAATTAGTTGCATCATTCAAAGTATATCCGGAAATGTTGCGTGCCCAAAGTTCAGGTGAAAAACAGCTTACCCCTTGCCTCTCATGTGGACCTACGATTTTGTAGGTACGTGTGGTAGATACCCGACGGAAGACAATAACTAGCCCAGTTAATGCCGCATAGAAGGCTGAAGTGAAACCATCAGGCACTTGTGCAACTTCTTCCGTTCGGAAGATTTGTCGCAAGCTACTTCCTGCATATGAAAATATCAAACTACGACTACATGAGAGGCAAGGCAAGTGTTTTCACCTGAACCTGGAAATTACTGAGTTTCGGTCACCATCAGGAAATGACTAAGTCGCGCGTCGAGAGAAAGCATTTTTGTTCTGGTGTAGGAAATGTGTTTCATATTTTCATTTTATGCCAGAGGTTCCAATTCTTACTATCAAATAACTGTGAAGTACATTTTTATATAAAGTTTTCACCGTAGTCAATCATTTACCTACTTACGTATAAGAGTAACGCCGGCCGAATAATTCTTACTATTTTCAACTCCAATACAACTGTTAACGAATGGATGAAGTTTGATAGTTCCATGATTCGAAGAAAAAATGTTGAAAGACCAGAATGAATGTTTCTTCAAATATTCTTTTTCCACTTCTTCCGGGCTAGATCCCTCATAGACTGAAAAATCATCGCCATCGTGTTTCAAGTTGAACTGAAAGTTTTGAAAAATAATTACACCTCATACTATGTGATGAAACATCCTGAAAATTAAAATTTTAAAACGATATGAAAGAAATATTCAGAGATTTCAACGAAATTTCTCTTATTAATTCGGTCCATTATGAGAAACATATGACATATCAGTACTGACCTCTCAACATAGGTGAAACATTTGCCGAATTGAAGAATAAAGTTTTGCCAATATCGATAAGTTGCAGTTAGAAGGTGAAATTGGGAATACAAGATGGAGGGATAAGAAAATTTCATAAAATTGACACAGTTCACAACAGTTAGTATTGGCTATTAGGGGCGCGCCGACGACGAAATGTTGAATTGAAACACAAACACCCTTAGCGAGAAGAATCTCATTTAGGGACGCATGCCACCCTAGAACAGATCCTAATTCTGAAAATGAACATGATTGTGACTGGAACAAATTCAAACATTGATTAAAAAGTCTTGGAATTACAATCAGAAAGAATAAATAAGAGAATGAAAAGTACAAAATGAAGTTTTTCTGTGATTTTAATGATACTTTTGGTTGCTACACCTTGAGAAGAGAAAGCAGATGTATGTCAACCCCAGCAAAACTGTGATAATCCCCTTCACTAGAAGGAGAAACGTTTGTTTGAAGGTGGTTGACAATGTTTCGTAGTGTATTTTATATCTAGTAAGGCGATAGACATTCGAATAATAGTTGAAGTTTTAGTTGAAGTGTTCATTGTATTTAAAGTGAAATAAAGTTAAGTTTGATTATTCAATGTAGTCAATTATTGGTCAACCCGCGGGTAAAAACTTAAGAATATTGAGAAACATGAAATAAAATTATATATAATGAAAGCAGCCAACTTTATTGATTTTTTCCACCATGTAAAACTATTTTCCAAGTGAATATTTTAGGGTGGTTGTTCTCTATTATTGTTATTCCATGTTTCTTTATATATTTCCGTTGCTAAATTTCATGCAGAATATCAAAAAAACTGTATTATACTTGTATATGGAAAAACTCAGTCAACTTTATTGATTTTTGGTTTTCACTGATGTTATTCCATGTTTCTCAATATATTTCCGATGTTAAATTCCGTATAGTGAATTTTCGCTCGCTCGCCTTTTCTTGAAGGATGACATATACATATGATATAAAAGTTCATTTCATGGCCAGTGTTGCCAATGATGAATCTTCAAATCACCCACAAGTGTGTTTGAAATTACCCGATTTTTGCCAGGGCCTAACATTGTCAAAAAGTCGGCATTTTCAGGTAAAAATGTATTTCAGAAGCAAGAAATGTGATGCTTTGAAAATCAATTTCAGAAGCGGAAAAGTAATGAATAAATAGTAAAATAGTCGAATTTGTCTAGTGATAGATGGCAACAGCAAATTATTTTAGAAGACTTCCAGAACTCGTGCACAATTTCTTTTCTTCAAACTATATAGTGATGAAAAAAGATAAAAATACACCTACACCAAATATGCACTTGCTGCCAAAATAATTCGGTATAAAATGTGCTAGTAGCATTATTAGAAATGCCATTGGCGCCAATTCAAATAATGAGATTTGAGTAGTGACTGGATTCAATATGTAATTGTTGGCTAACATGATTTCCGTCATAGCTTTCAATGTCATACAAAATAATGTCAGGATTTTTAGCATATAGTGAGTTCGATTACCCGGTAATCAGCCAAAATAAATTTTGTTAAAAAATTGCCAGAAGGACCTCGAATTATTCACGATCCTGGTAATTATCTGGTCATTGGCAACACTCTTCATGAAACGAAAAGTATCAATTATAACTTTTACTTCGTACGCCACTGGACGTTCGGAAGTATTCGGAAATTTTGACAGCTATCATTAGCAGCCAACTTCACACTGCTTCAAAAAAATATAAATATTTGATCTAATACAAATTGTATGAATAAATCGACCCTAAGACCACTATAGTTATATAACTTTCTGTAAAATAAACAACTCGGTATTGTACTTCATCAATTCTGTGAATAGATCACTTAATGATTTGTGCAATGAATAAATCTGGACCAAAATGAAGCCTATACAAGTTGATTAAAAGATATAGGTAACTCACCACAACGCTCTGCCAAATATTCATAATACTCTTTGGTTGTCCTTTATAACATAATATGTGGAATTCAGACGACTTACTATGAATTATTAATGTTTCTCCGGGTATTAATTCATGGACTGAAAAAGAAAGATAATGGAAATTCATCCGGATAGCAATTATATTATATATTTTACCATCGGCATTTTGTCCTGCCCTAGAGTGTAATGAAAATGTGAGAACGATCCAAATAAATAAATAGTTGCGTATCATCTTATTTTGAATTTTTGAATGAAAAACTAGAAATAATAATAAACATAAAAATAAGGTTATAGTGGATACGAATAACAGTGTTGCCAATCTTTCAGAGAGCGAAATGGTGAATTGACAGCCAAATTTATCAGCTGCAATGGCACAAAGAAAAGAAACTATTATTCATTTGTGGCAATCGTTTATCCACAGAAATGCACAATTATCGAGTAACAAGTGACGAGTATAAGTTGTCCAGCTTTCTAACTTCAATTAAAGATGCTTTTGTTTTGACAAAAACTCTCGACGCGAGTTTATAGATGGAGCAAAAAAAAAGAAATAGATTAGTTAGTTATTTCCAGTTAAGAAAAGTTGAGTATAATTACGGTATTTTTGGAAATTTAATTTATTCAGATCGTGAATTTATACCTGACCTTTTCAGATAGATTCATTCGTTAGAAAGTAGGCAAACAAGTAGGTAATATGTTAGAGTATGAAATAGTTGTAATTTAGAAGCAATGTATTATTTACGCTTGAGAAAGCTATTGTATAGCGAAACGTGTCGCGGTTTTTTTGAAACCCTCTATAGTGAGAATCACACAATAAACTGTATTAATGAGTTTCAATATGGATTTTCAAGTATAGGCCAGTTCTATTCAATTACATTTCTTGTTTTTATGTTTTGAAAAAATACTTTTCCGAGCAAGTATGAAATAAGGATTTCAAAGAATATAAAGATAAAATGGAAACTGATTGATTGATTTATGATGTAGTGTATAACTAGCATTCATTTGATTACATAAACAAAATGGGAAATTAATTTGAATTATGGACATGATTTTGTAAATCTTCTCTCGGAAACATTTAGGTACCATTTTCTCTACGAAAATACTGGAGGTAGAGTTAGACACTAACTCAATTTCTTATAAACTATGTTAATTGTTTCTCTGGTTTATTTTGTTAATTTCATATGTGTGATTGATGACTTGTTTATTTTGTGGTAATTCATTAAATTGTAAATTTCAATTTTATTTCTTCTTCTTTAAACGGCCACTGGCCACGGCTTCCAGATCCATCTCCCAGATATATCACTCAAGAAGGGTTATCAATAACACACAGTATTCGTTTCATCTGTGTTAATAATGGTGCAGATATCTATATACTAATATTATTTTACTGAAAACGCAAAAAACTCAACAAAAACCCTACTTGCTGATTATTGAGTAGTAAATATCCGTATACTGAAGAAATCCTGCCAGAAAAGGAAATACTTTTAGCGATTCATTTTCAGCAGAAAACTTTTTTTTAAATAAATGACAAAAGTTCAATAAAAGGTATACCTGGAACCTCTGGAGTAGAATAAATTTCAGAACAAAAAAATAATTCGATGAAAATTTGACAAAGAAATTCTGTACGACCCCAAACGCTGACCTAATCCAAGCGGTGAGTCGAAAATAAGGGAGTCTATTCGCAAAAGGTCGTGAGGAAATGAAATTTGTTGGGATGATAGTATGTATGTTACATTTATTATATAGGGTCAAATTTATCTAATTGAGCATCTGCAGACTCAGGAACCATTACTCTTCTAGAAAAAAAAATTACATAATTGTTTCAGAGCGACCTTCGTTTTAATCCGCGCTGAAATCGTCATTTTGTTGAACATTGCAAATCAACCCCCAACTTTGAAGCGCCGTAGACCGAACACTGTTGGTCTTAGACAAAAAACGCAGAGTCAAAACAATCCTAGATAAAGCAAATGAAAATTCCACTGAGCAATGTGTGGATTCAAAAACAAGTAATTTCTAGGAAAAATATAACCATAATAAATTCACCGTTCCTGAATCATTTTCCAGTCTTATAGGTTTGATCAGAGCATAAACTAAATGTATGTTAGATTGATCCCAACATGAGGAATTTTTTTTTCTGATGGCCTTTCATTCATGAGTATTGTCGTTCGTTGGTATTATATAAAATAAAAAATAATACATGGATTAAAGGACATTCCTTTTTCATGCATTTGAAGTAAGTTTTCAGCAAAATTTATTGATCAAAGATTATTTTACATATAAAAAAAATTCAAATGAATATATATATATATACTTTATTCTATAATATACTTTTGGGTCTCACGGAACATTCGGAGTTCATTTATTCAGTTGCGGTAATCCAAACTCGTCTACGGGAACTCCATTCTGAAATACAAAAAAATATAAATAAATAATACATATTGTTATTTGTAACTGCTCTCATTATCAAATTCATATCGATTTTATATAGAATAGGCAAATAAACAGTTCCAGGATTAGACATTTTTTAACATAGAGATCACAGGGTGGAGTAAGAAAAAAAACAAATATAGTAACTACACAATGTAGTGAAACTAAAAAAAATCAACAATTATATCGCCGAAGAATCCAAGTGGGAGTTTTTCACAGCACTACAACAAGGCATAGTTTCTACATATTTGTAGTACAGATAGTCAATGAAATTCACTGGTCTTCATACTGTCGTTGTCCAAGGTCACGCTAACCTCTACTTGCGCTTCTTGATCGTTCTAGATGTCACATTGCTTCGAGAATATTTTTATCGGCATCCAGAGACTTCCAGCAGGATATATAAACAATACCAACAGGCGGATGGGGCAAATCAAGTCTAGTTGAAAGTGTGATACGAAGTGTGCTAACAAGACGATAGACATTCAAGTATTAGTCTGAAGTTGTGTTATATTGGCAGTGTAGTACTGAGAAAATTTTGAACATAATTGTACAGTGTAGTCCATTATTTTCAAACCCACGGGGAAAACGAAACATTATTTTTGATGAGCTCAAAAACCATTTAGCTACTTGTTTATAGTGAAAGCTGCAGAGATGAATCAGAGATGTGGGTATATAATACGTGTATATTTTTTCTTTACTCGCCTTTGTATTATTTTTTTGTCTTCTTTCCCGAAATGTAACTTTGTATTTATATGCAACTCCTATTATTTTTTACATATTTAGTTAACCCTGTAAATATTTTGGGTCATAAATGCTATTTTCATCATATATATATATATAAATATAACACAATTATTAAAAAAACAAACTGAAAAATCAAAGCAACTTACCTTATTAGTGTCTCTTTCCGAGTCTGGTTTGGTACTTGGAGCTTCTGGAGCCTTCAAAACATCGTCTAAATAACTCTGATCGTCATCAAGATTCATTTCATCTCCCAGGGCATCCAATTCTGCAGCCAATTCATCATCATCTATTTCAGGTGTATTATAGGTTCTTCCTAATGCTTCCTGTACTTCATCTGCTTGCTCCAACATGTCTGCCAGTTCATCTTGGACATCCTAAAAATTGACATTAATTTGGTATGAAAGGATTGAAAAATCTATTTGATATAAATTCCAGCGTATGACAAACCGAACAGAAAAGATGCAAGAAAAGAGAGACAAGAAAAACTGTCGACTGGAGCATACCGATTGAGACCCAAGTGCTCGATAGAACACATAGAAGCCAAAAGAAACAGGGAATGAACATAAATAAAATCTGGCTACCTGCACTGGATTCTAAACGTAGCCGAAAGAAACAGAGAATGAACATACATAAAATCTGGCTACCTGCACTGGATCAGGTCATTTGATTCAACCAATAGGAAAAAGCCATGCCCACCACGAAAAAAATTAAACTGTGAGGACAACTAAAGCACTTTGCCTGTAATTTCGACAAAGCCCCACTGATATTGGCAGATATTGTGGATACTCACATCAATATCATCGATGTTGATCTTCTTGAACTCTTTTTTCATTTGTTTCATCCCATCCTTCATTGCAATGACAGTTGTATGAGTATCTTTCAGAGCCTGATGAGCCATGTTTGCTTGTTCCATATTGAACGACTGACCTCGTAAATTATCTAGTTGGTTTTCGTAAGCCTTCTTTTGTTTCAGAATTCGTAATGCTTTAGCTTTAACAGCATTTTTTCCAGGTCCTTCTCTCATCTTTGATAACTGGTCACGAAATTTTCGTAGATCATTTTCCAAAGAGTTTATCTTCTTTTCTACAGCTTCTGCTCTTTGATCTACCTACAATATTATATCTATTATTATAACATTAATTGAGCTTTTGAAGAATTTACTTCACAAATTATGTCTTGCTGTAAGCTGTATTACACGTTTTGGAAGCCATGATTTGAAAGAAGTATTTCTTTCATCGTGTGAAAAGCATAGATCATTTTTCAATTTTTTAACCTTTATCCATAGCCAATTATGTTATAGGTCTCTGCTATAGAGCTTCGCTTTGTTGAAAATATAGTGAAACCATGGTTTAGGAATATAAACTATGTTCACCTCTATGATGGTGAAGTCCACTTCATGTTTTGGTAGATTTTTGTTATCTTGCAATTTATGACATTACTACAGTTCAGTGCCAACACCAAACCTTTATTCAATCACCAAGTGATCATCTTCAAGAGGAAAATTAAACTAAACTGAGTACATATAAAGGCTTCTGGAGTACTTTATTGTTCAGATTATGGAATGTGGAAAAACTCAAAGAGCCCCAAAGAAATTTAAGGAAATCTATAGATCATTGCCTCTTGGTAAATCCAACCTTAGTTTTTAGGCATACCTATCTGAGTAAGTGCGACAATTTCATCACAAAATGTTTGTGCATGTAATTAATGTAATAATACAGTCCTTACCCCTGCAATAGCATCCGAAATACTAGGTGCAGGTTCTTTAGCCTTTTCTTTTCCAAACAATCTATTCATTTCTGATGTCTTGAATCCTGGTTATAATGTTGACACAAAAAAAATTAAATATTTTAGATTTATAACTTTTATATAGATTATAATTATAAATAGTAAGCGAGCAGGGTTGCCACTAGTTTACATTTCGTACTTGAGATATGTTCCAAAAATAATATTTTCTTGACTTCTACTAAACAAAATTTTTGACATACAATACTTGAAAAATATAAAATTGTTTATTAGTTTCGAAACAAGATCAACATATTGTTTTTGTAGTTTTCTCAAAACAAAATACATAATAATCATCCGTTCAAATATTCCAAATTCAAAGCTGTCATCTGCCAGGTGTTATATCTGAACAAAATCATCGATTAGTATTTTGACGTCTGATTCACCAGTTTTCAGGAAACCGTGTTTAATTTCTAACCGGTTTTCAATTTTTCTACAATAGTGGTAATTTAAAACCACCAAACCGCATTTCTGGTTACTTTTGGAACACATCCTATAATTGAGCGTTCAAACGAGCTCTTGAAATTCGATCGTAATTATATGAGGCAATTTATCCAAATCAATTATTTTATGTAGACTACCTTTAGTACTAGAATTGCATACAATTTTTTAAATTTCCTGAAATTTTCAATGTTTACAGCCTCTTCAGTATTTACAGGTACCTAACTTACCGATCTGACGTTTCATTCAGTGTAAAGCGGTAACTTTCAATTCAATTTCAAGTTGCCTACATGCAACATTTACAACGAAAATTCCTAATTGTTGTGAGAGAAGGGAGTCATTATTCCATTATTCGGCCTAAGCGCCTCATACAATTACGATTGAACTTCAAAATTTCGTTTGATCGTATAATTCTATTTTGGCGCTTCGTCAGAATAATAGATTATATATGTATACTATGTAGATGTTTGAAACAAACTAGAAACGTTGGTATAATGTAGATATTTCCATTTGGTATTGTTACAGGGATGAATCTTGAAAAATAAACCCGTTCATTTATAGCAAGAGATTTCCCTGATAAGCCTTAATGTATTTGGGTAATTTGGAAACTCTCCTCAAACTCTCCTCCTTGAAGTTGAAGAATGTTGTGTGGAGTATTTTTGTATTCATTCCAGCTGCATCATCTATTTTTTCTCGTCTTTGAAGTGGTCTCAATGTGATGAATTAAAATTTCTTATCTTATTGTCTACGCAGTCATAATGTTTTTTCAATGTAGGTGTGAAACAGTGAGGCTATGCAAAGTTCAGGCGTCACAATACATTGTGACGCCTGAAGATGATATCGTATTGCGAAACACATATATCAGTTTTGTGAACTTTCAAGTGAAAATCTCACATTGAAGTGTTTATTTTTGAATACGTTATAATGAATGATCATCACGTATCAGGCAGTTCTTTCAAATTTTTGTTCCTTTATTATCTCAAAACTATCACGATATGAGCGTATGCTTCCTTAAAGATAGTACCGATAATGCAGTACTCTCAATTGATCATATATATGTACACCGTTTAAGTACAGAGAATTAGATTTTTATCAAATTGAAATAAAAGTAGAAAATGCCTAAATTGAGCTTATTACTGAATTCAAGTATCTATCATTTATCAATGAATAACCATTTTAATTACATCCAGATATTTTATTCAAAAGTGTCCCAACACTCAACTATGCAACCACGAATAACTGTATATAAGACCATTATACAACCACATTTCGAATATTGTCCTACTCTTTTATACACTGCTGATTTTTTAAACAAACAGATATGTGTATGTTAACATTATTATCATTGTTGTATATTACTAGTATGTATATACCCTATTTGAATAAAGCATTTCATTTCATCTAGATATACTATTTTGTTCTCCCACATGATGAAAATATTGTATTTTTCGAAAGCACAAAAAATTTCAAAACAATCCAAATTAATGCATTTCATTTCAATCTCCTTTTATGCCCACTAAAATAGCTATACTGATGTCGTAATTCGCCACCCACGGAATTTTTGCGTCATAGTTCTTCTCTCTCTCTCTAATGTAATCATTTACTACAAGCAATGTAAAAGTGATGTAATATCACAAGAAGGCTAACTTACAAGTTTAGCCTTCTTGACGCCCAAACCAATCCAACTTGTCACGTCTATTGATAAAAGATTTGTTTTGAGTTCTTTACCATTCGATCTTGCGCAGATAATAAAATTTGTTTTTATTTCATTTAGATTTGTTCTGTTACCGTTCCCAGAGTGTTTCTGTTTTTTCATTAGCTATTCGGAACTATTCTAGAACGGCAAATATTGTTTTGAATATTGAAGTAACGACTGGTTGAAACTTTTATATTGCACATAATCACTAGTTAAATTTTTGTTGTGTATGAATAGACAAACTCTTTTGCTTACATCAACCTATTCTTCATTCTTATCCAATCTTCAATTTGAATATTTATGATTGAAATTACAAACGAAACAAACAACAAAAAATAAATGACATGAATTTTTCTGTTTTGGTTTTTCATTTGTGGAAATTGTTACAGAACTGTTCTGTATCTTGCGCATCGATTTTGCGACAAATCCGATCGATTCTCTAGCAGTTCGAAGGAGAGAACGAAAACAAACCTAAAAATCTGTCACAGTTTTACCACAGAATTCTGTGGTTTGTGGTTTTATACTGCTTGTTCCATTAATTATGAAGAGTTGAAGAGTAGAGTTATAACAAATATTTGGTTCTAATATTCATGAAAAGGAAAATATCGTTTATCGTTATTTACTATTTACAGTATTCTTGAAAATAAGTTTGAAGGCGACGATGTCCAAGGCAAAGAAGATTTTAGAGGAGGCTAGGGAGATTCAAACTCCTGAATTAGATTTATTTGATAGAGGGATTTCCTCATTTGAAGAGATGCCTGGTTTATGTAAGTTATTACAAATTTATCAGGCAATGTTTGAGAAACTCGAGTCGGGAAGTTTTACTAAATGATAAGCATTATTATGATAAATAAAAGAATGAATCCCTTCTTTTAAAGTTCATATACTGCAATGAATTTATTAAGTTTCATATTATTTCCTTAAATGTAAGTGTCCACAGTCCCATCAAAGAAATTAAATGCTTATTTCCGCATACATTTTTACTATTTGTTCAGACTTATTTTTTTTAATTACCTTGAAAATACCTGAAAAGTGGCATAAACAACTATCTGAATTGGAAAAGTTCCTCATATGTTGCTCTATTTGCTAGCAATTCAAGCAAAGAAAACCAAACTATGTGCACCCCAAAGTCCTAAAGTTGGCATTGCTCTTTATGGTGTGTTTATGCAACAACACCTAGGAACTAACCGTAATTAGCTCCTAAGATATATGATGGAATTGGCCCATACTTGATGATAATCCCCAACATATTCAAGAAACAATGAACAGTTTTACAAAAACGCAACACGTGTTTCGCTATACTATAACTTCTTCAGGAGTGCTTGTACTATATAGGTCTGTATTTAGTAGAACTACAACTTCTGGCGCAGAATAAATCCAAAGCAAGCAATTCTCTCAAACACCAGAACTTCAACACTTCTTTCGATACACCTTTCACCAACCAAGTTGGCCTCTTTAAGAAATGAAGTAGACAGTCTACTTCATCTCCTGAAGACGTCAATTAGTTTTTATGTAAACTCGGGTAAAATAAAATTATAAGTCATTACCTAGGCCGAAGGTAATATATTTCAAACTGTTATTATATGAAGCACAAATTGAGTAGAATTAAATCAAGATGAGTATAACGAAACACGTGTTACGGTTTTGTAAACTGTCCAGTGAAAATCTCGCAATAAAATGTTACTTGAATAAAAAATGGTGTTTAGTTAACAATCAGTCATTATTATACATTGGATTAACCAGAGTAAATTGAATATAATTTGATTACAACATAGTTGGAAATTATTTCTGATTTTTTTTGTAAAAAATCACTTTAGTATCAAGCTTCAACTGCATAATATGTGTCTATAAAATATTTCTGGAGTACAATTTTTAAAATCTATAGTTCACAATTTCTGAAACCACATTGCTGATTGCGGATTTGTGGTTTGTTAGTTGATATATTATCAAACCACTACCAAGGACTGACATCATTAGCTCAAGAGAATAGGCATATCAGAAATTGGAATGATATTAGTAATTATAAGCTTTTATATCCCTATCTAGTCAGAAATATCAACAACTGTTTGATACATTGTGCATTATAGAAAAAACGAGGCGTGAATGAGGAACATTCAATAATTTTCCACTTTGACACAGTCTTTCAGATGATTCTTCACAAGTAATCTTAATTGGGAACGTGAAACCACATGTGAAAGATACGACAGCCAATTTAAAAAAAAATCAAATCTACCATTTATATAATTGTTATTTCAGCTGTTCATTCTAATTTTATTTGTTCTTTCATAGTCCCAACTAGTAGAATTTAAGGAATTACTTGCAACAAATCTTCCAATGGAAAACCCATGGAAGAGAGAGAGAGAGAAGAGTGGTTTTTCGGGGATTGGGTCTGTTTAGAAAGTAAATGATACTCTTTTTAGCTGCCCGAGCTTTCGCTAATGTTTATTAGCTATATCGAGAGCTGTAGTATAAAAAACAACAATATATAGAAAACATAATATGGGAGGAAACAGTTACACATGTGCTATAATATGATCAATTCATTTTAAAATACTATTCATCCCCAATTTATAGGTAACTGAAAAAACAGCATAATATTATCGAAATTAGTTTTGGTTCTGACAAAATTGCAATAATTTTATTTCTATGATGATAATCACTTTTGAAAATTTCCATTTCATGTACCACTTCGTTGTATTATTCTGCAAGCTTAGTATTTCCCAAAGTTTTTAAAAGTATCTAGGAACTGCAGAATTTGAATTTTCAAGCATTGTCTTTATAATGTTGATTAGATAAAATATGATTGTTAACATACATGTTTTCTTTACAGTGAACATGTCGCAGCTCACCCGTCTCACTCTAAGTCACAATAAAATAAAAAGTAAGTATTTATATTGTAAGGTTGTTCTGATTGGTTTACATTGTGACAGATCTCTTAATGGCTTCTCTTAGAAGTAGGGGGGTCGTAATGTGTTAAATTATGAGAGACAGCAGTTTCATTGTATTTTATTACATGGTCTTGGAACAAAAATATCATTTTTCAAGTGACATGATTTCATGAAAACAAAAGTGGCGCAGTCGGTATGATTGTGAAAGTGAAAAAATTCTTCATGAAATTAACAAATCTCACAACTCTCTGCTTATAACAAAGCAGATGATGTTATTACTAAAAAGTGTGAACAATTATACCGGTATGAAGTTAGCTATCATTTTTCAGCCGCTTTTGGTAATGAATAAAAAATTATTGGGAGATGAAATTGTATCACAACTAACAGTTTACTCAATTAAATAATTGATTAACAAGAGACGGTTTATTATGAGGTAGTGCTTTTGGTAATGAATAAAAAATTATTGGGATATGGAATTATATCACAACTATCAGTTTACTCAATTAAGTAATTGATTAACAAGAGACGGTATATTTTGAGGTAGATTTTGGCAAAATTTAACCGTACAGCAGTTTTTTATTAAATGGTCTGTTTCTACTGGGACATATGCTGCAGTAGCGGGTTTCAAAACGTTTGGTACTTCAGCTTCCATTCGACAACAGCCTGGATTTTATTCTTTTTAATCATTACTTCGGTCATGAAAGCATATGTTCTTCTAGAGCTAGAGAAATGTACTATTTGTTCAGTTAATAGCTAATTATTTATTTCAGGTATTCCCCCGGGTCTTGCAAATCTCACGAACTTAGAGATATTGAATTTGGCAAATAATCACATAGAAGAGCTACCTCTTTCACTTTCATCGATGCCAAAATTGAGAATCTTAAATGTCTCACTCAATCGACTGTATAAGTTACCAAGAGGATTTGGTGCATTTCCCGTTTTAGAAGTGTTAGATTTGACCTACAATAATCTCAAAGAGGAGTCTCTACCTGGAAATTTTTTCATGATTGGTAAGTGATTACCGTAAGTACCATATACCATATATTAGTGCTTAACAGCACCAATATAGTTTTGACTTGTCAGTGTGAGAGCGAAGTTTGTTCCTACAGTGTAGAATGATCAAAAACTATTCGAGTTCTAGTCATCTCTTGATGATGCTAACTTCACAAATATTTGTATATTTTAGGTAGTTATATATTATTTTTCAGAAACTTTGAGAGCACTTTATTTGGGTGATAACGATTTTGAATACCTTCCATCTGATGTCAAAAACTTGAAAAATTTACAAATCGTAAGTATATTTCAGTATCTTACTCGTTTATGTTCTCAATCTACTACATGTCGCTCAACACAACACATGTCGCTTCACAAAACTGAATAGGTGCCGTATTCTCTTTGAAACAAGATTTGATAGCCTGTTTAGTCTGACCAACGTATTTTTATTTGCCTTCCTTAGCTTATAATTTCCAACAACTTGTCTTGATTTGTACACAACAAGACCTCACATTCAATATATTAAACAAAACCATACACATTCCTAGAGAAGATCTAACACAAAGAAGAGTACCTGATGCAGTACAAATACAGGAAAATTTACCTAAAGTACCTGAAATACCTGAGTTAAGACGCTCTGACCGTATAAAGAGGCAGACGACAGGATGACAAGTTCAGTTTGAGGAGTGCCAAGAAGATGACAGTACTACCAACTGTCGAAAGCGCTCGCAGATAATTAATAGAAGATATAAAGCTTCAAATCCTTTTTGTAAAATTTAATATTGAAATACTGAAAATAAAGGAAAATTAGTTGCATCATTCAAAAAATAGAAATTAGTTTGATTCATCTCCTGATGACGCCAACTTTGTGAAATGCGCGTCGAGTAGAGTACTGCAGTTCTGGTGTTTGGAAAGATTTTTGGATGTATTCTGCGCCAGAGGTTCCAGTTTCACCTCTCACTGTCATGATGATCTTTTTTTTCAGTTGGTTCTCCGTGAAAATGATCTCATTGAACTACCGAAGGAAATAGGCGAGTTATCCCGTCTCAGGGAACTACACGTCCAAGGAAACCGACTTTCAATTTTACCACCCGAAATTGGTAATTTGGATATGGCTTCCAATAAGTCAGTTTTCAAATTCGAAGGCAACGAGTGGGTTGCGCCGATAGCAGATCAATTGCAACTGGGGCTAAGTCACCTCATGGAATATTTGCGAAGCGAAACATATCGAGTGTGAGTATCTTTACGTTACTGTATAGGATGATTTTAGCAACGGAAACGAAATCAAGGCTAGCTTTATCTTGGAGATCAAGGCGCATTTTTTTTTATTGATTTGATTGTTTCGGAGAATTTTCATCCATTCATCAATTCCTTTTTTCATTTGAATTTTTTTTATGAACACGTTGTTCCAATATAGACTTGTCCGAGATTCTGTTAAAATTACATCAAAATGGCCGCCTGTAGGCACACATGTTGTTTGTTCTAATGGAAAGAAAACTAGAAAAGTCCATAATCAACTCGTCTTTGTGAGTGATTGTGTTGCTGCTTGCTGAAATTCGTTGTCTGAGGCTGATTTTATATATCAATCGTCCTTCATAACGTAAAATCATGCCTACAACGTGTTGTGTTGTAAATTGCGGAAGCTGTGGGGATCGTGATCGGTGAACTTTTACAAAATACCTAGTGAATTTCTGCTTTTACTAAAGGCCTGCCATGCAGGTACAATGAGCTGATATTATTGCACCATATTTCTCGAATATAATACAGACTTGCAGTGGGGGATTGTTCATCCTCTGTCAATGCTTGACCTAAAATTGTGAATAAATCAAGTTTGAAAAATATCTTGATACCTTGGCAATCACAACAATGTGCTCTCCAATTTACTTTACTACATAATCATGTACAAATCCAGCTTCAAGATATTTGTAGCCAGTCAAACTTTTGTAGGCCTTCATCTTCTGATTTGTTTAGAATGAGTTAGCACCAGATAAGAACTCATATCGAAAGCAGTAACTGGTGGAAAACATTCTATAGAACTGTTCATTTCTTCTGAAATGAAAGTAAAAGAATCCATGCACGGTATCACTCTGGTTTTATCTTTGTAATGCACAGCAATGTCTTTGTTTTCACGTTCCAATGTAAGTAAATAATCACTTTTATTACAAACAGCCATCATAATTATTTTCACAGCTTCCAAAGATAACAAAACACGAAAAA